GGTTGGAGGGTTCAGTGTCAAATTCCCTCCCACTTTTGCTTCTCCAGCCAGCTTGTCTGCTCTCTCGTTGCCGGTTACCCCCGCATGGCCCGGGCTGAAGATCCAGGCCACTCTTTCCAGGCTGCTCTCCCTGATCGTAGCCTTCCAGTCCGCATACAGTATCCCTTTCTGTACCTTCTGTAGTGTGCTCATTACGGTGTGCTCGAGCTCCTCTTCAGGAATAAAACCAAAAAGGAAACGGGGGGGGGGGAGTTGGAGAAAGAAGGACGGGAGCTAGAAAGACACAGTTAAAGAGTCGCTATACACATATATTTTTATTGGGGTTTTTGGCACATAAGATCTCGTTTTGTGTTGAAATTTCACTCATGAAACTTTTTAAATTGTCAGGCACTGGTAATGCTAACACGAAAAACTCAAATCCATGGATAGCTCGTTCAGTTTGCCATTCCTGGACTATCTTTTAAAATTTTCGTTATTGGTTAACTCAAATTATGGATGTGTCAAACACATTTGTGAGGCATCGTGGTGAAATCAGGCACTCGTCAAAATAACGAAATCAGAGAAAGAAGCATTTTTGGACCAGTTTGGCAATTTTTTTCAAATTTGTGTTTTTCTGACTTAACACTTAGTATGTCCATTCAAAAACACATTTATGTGTGGATTTTATGGAAAAACGCTGATTAGAGGCTCAAAACATGTACATTTGCAGTTTCCAAGGACTCTTGAACTCTGGAAGTCACCAAACTTTGGCGGCCATGTTCTCGCTAATTTCATTTTATTTCTGAAATCAGGTGACCCCACCTCCTTCAATCACAAATATCTCGACTTCTATTCCAGAAAAATGGATACTTTTTTAATTGAAAGCAAGGCAAATGAACTACCTTTAAGATGATACCATAACTCTTTATGCCCAAAAACTGACAAGCGTCTAACTCCACCGTGTCGTGACACATTTGCAAATCTCCAACCTGTCTGAGTTATGCGTGCCGGACTGTACTTAACGAAATTGGACATTTGAATTTTTCCAGCTGAATATGGCTTGGATTTATTATCAGTATTTTCAAGTAGAAATTCATAATAACAAACAGTGATTCTTTATTTTATTGACTGGCTTTTTCAGATGATTTGTTGACTGAACCTATTGATGTGAGTGAGACCAAACTGCCTTCTCCCAACCAACTGTGGAGAAAAATTATTATCAAGGTATTGTGTGGATTTTGAAAAATCTCTACTCCTATTTTCTTCTTTTGTCTTCTCAACATTGATTTCATATTCTTATTAGCTTTGTTACCACCTTTGTAAATCTACCTGTGTGTGTGGTGGTGGTGGGGGGGATTAAATCCAGTATCAGTGTTTGCTGAAAAGTTTTTACTTCTCCACTGTTTGTCTGGTGTAAATTCTGTCTGTCATCCTTCTTTTTTCACACCACTAAACAGCCATTATTTTGTTGGTGTTCATCTCACTTACACAGATAAGTCGGGACACTAACAAATGTGAGGCGGCGTGATGGAATCAGACTCTCGTCAATTTTGGGGCATGTAGAGTTATTGGTATCATCTTAAAGCTTGTTCAGTTGCCTTGCTTTCAATGAAAAAATTACCCGCCCATCTTCAATAGAAGTGGAGATATTTTGGATTGAAGGAGGTGGGGGTCACCTGATTTAAGAGGTAAAATTAGCGAGAAAACGGCCGCCAAAGTTTGGTAAATTCCAAAGCTGGAGAGTCCAGTGAAACTGTAAATTTATATTTTTCTGTCTTTAATCAACGTTTTCTGTGAAATCCTCTAAGGAATGTATTTGTAAATGGACATAAAAGGTGTTGAGCCAAAAAATAAAAATTGTATAAAAATTTGTAAACAGGCAGAAAACTGCTGTTTTCTTCGATTTCATTATTTTGACGAGAGCGATGGACATGTTCCGACTGTAGTTACCCCAACACTGAACAAGGTGTGACATAAGGGATTGAAAAGGCCGCTATCGTTATACTGTCAGTGCAGCTTCTAGCCAGGGTTTTGCCAATGCTCAGTAAGAAATACCTATACAAACTCTCTGTTGGCTCCCTTTTCAACTGCCATTCCTCCAACTGCCTGAGTGACTAAACTAATGTAAATTGGTGCTAGAGGCACACTCTATACACAATTGGCACCCGCCCATCGGCTGCGCAGTAATAATCTCCCTTTCTCCCACACACAAGTGTGATTGAGTGATTGTCGCCTCCTACAGGATGCCTGAAGGCCTTCTGATCAAGTTTTGGACGAAGGGAAATAACACTTTATAATATTGTCCTCCACCTAGTAAGTCATGGCAGAATTATTTCCCTTGACCTTGGGCAGTCTTTTTACTCCTGTTGGCCAAAACGACACATTCTGACATCTGCGGCGTGATGGTCAGACTCTCTGCCCTGCACGCATAGGACTTTAGACCAATTCCCATGTGGAGAAGATGTTTTATTTTGTATCCCTCTCTGTCTGCTGGGATGTGTCTGCTACACAACTTGCGACCTGAGTAGGCTACTAAATTATAAAAATTGTGTTGTGCTTAACATTTACAGCATACAACTGTATCATAAGTGAGCAGGTTTATAGCTGTTGTGAACTTGAAAAGGGAAACCTCTTTTAAATGTAGAAATTGTACTCATGTTTATTTTAAGAGCTATATTGAACTAATTAACAAGCATATGGACAGTGTCACAAGCAATCCACTTAAGTCGGTTGAAGTACTTTTTAAGTGGGAGACAAAAAAAAAGTTTTTTATGTGTTTTTCGTATCTGGAATTTCGTAGCAAGAAATTATAAGCCTTGACCATGGAATTAAATTGCATTTTGGCGATGCTGAAAGGCACATTTTTGATAGAGCTGTGGGAGGGTGTGAAAATAAAAAACTCCCGAAATTAGGTCGTAAGTGGATTGCTTGCAGTAGTGATGATATTTTATCTGAAATGGTACAGCCTTATATGGGGTTAAGCCTGAGGCTATTGACAGCAGGATTCTGGCTGTTCTTAAGGTTTCTTGGTCAATACAACTGTAAGCGGAAAGTTGATTTCTCTTCTTAGGGTCAGGTAGGGGTTGTTCTAAAATTGTCAAAAAGAAAAAGTGAGAGAAGAAAGCTTGCACTGCTGTGACGTGAGGACTATTGGTATATCGGTGTGCTAGTCCAGGGAAGAACACTATGCTGCCGTAAGCTCACAAAATGCCTTTTTTAATATATTGGCGCCCAAAAGTTTTATATGCAAAATCGAAAGCCTGATTAGTTATCCTGCTTGTGGGAAAAAAAATCAGAATGAAACTGTAACTAGTTTTTAAAATAAATTAGAATTCAAATTTCGGAAGCACTCTTTTTTTCAAAGGTTAGGGTTACATTAACAAAAAACCTCTTTTTCTCAAAACTGTTGTAAATTTTTAAAAAGGCGTTTTGTCGGCTTACGGCAGTAGGGCCTATGGATGTGCCTAGATTGAGATATTGTCAGCCCAGCAAGCCAGTCGCCAGAAAAGGATGTAAGGGAAAATATTCTGATTATTTTCCTTTGTCCTGGTTTCAGTTGGAAGACTACTTATTCAGCCCAACAAACAGCATTGTGAACCCCAAGGAGCAGAAAGTCTATCAGAATATGGACTTTTCCCTGTCATCCTACTGGATTGCATCATCTCACAATACGTATGTTGTCCTTTTTGGGATTTTTATGCTTGTCTTCTTTTGAGACGAACGCCATACTCTCACAAAAAATAAATATGCTATAAAGAATTTGAAAAGGCAGAAAGCTTCTCTTTTTGACTTAGATTTGCAAATTTTTCTAAATTGTGAGATGGGGAATATTGGGAACGAGGAGACTATTCTTAACCCCTTTCTGCCAAATGATATACCTAGTATGTCAGGACAGTGTGTAATTTTTAGCTTTGTTCCGTACCGTGGACGTCTTGGAAGTCAGCAAAATTTGCCTATAAGGCATTACATGTACGTCATGTACCTCACACTAGTCATCTGAATCTAGTTCTTCTGCCATATGCACCATTTGGATTCGTATTCGGGAATAAGAAATGTGCATGTGGGTGGTTGGCGGGTGCTCTGGTGTGTTTGCTTCTTCTTTTCTATCAAACATATCTATCGTCCTTATCTCCCCTCCTTCTTTTTTATGTTTCTTACTCTCTTGTAACACCTCTAATCTTCTGTCGCTCATATGACCTTATGCAGTTTGGAGCGCCGTAAAAGTATTACTTTCCTGCTAGGCTTGCACACGATTGATAAACACAGGTCTAGTCTTGCAGACGAACGCCATACTCTCACAAAATATAAATATGCTATAATGAATTTAAAAAGGCAGAATGCTTCTCTTTTTGACTTAGATTTGCAAATTTTTCTAAATTGTAAGATGGGGAATATTGGGAACGAGGAGAATGATTGTAAGTCTACTAACACTGAGACTTGAGATGCTGTCCTGGCTAAAGAGCTTAGCTGAAAACCAGTGCTGACAGTAGGAATGGACATCCCCAGGCTACAAAAGGGTGCACCCTTTTACACTTTGCCGTTACTTGCCGCAATAATGCGACTGAAAATTATCCGGTCCGGTCACCTGGCGCAGTTGTGTGCCTGGTGTGGGAAGTCCGTTGCAGTCACTCTCCTGGGTGGGTGACCAGATGGGGTATTTTGTACTGGTGGCTGTGTGACTGCATAGTATTAAGCGTTGCCTCCAAGCCGAAGACTACACAAGCTCCTGAGCTCCCTGTGAATTTTGCAAGATTTACGCCACTGTGTGCTGAGGCATACGTTTAATGTGCAGAAGGGTAAAGTAGCTCGTGTTGAGACGTGCACTTAGATCCCTATAGGTAAAGGGAAATGGCTTTTCCTTTTAGTTTTAGTAAGAGTTTTATGGCGCTTGCAACACAACGTGGTCATATTAGTGCCGAAGATTAGAGGTTTTACGAGAGCGTAACAAACACTAAAAAGAAGGAGGGGAGATATAGACGATAGATGTTTGATAGGAAAGAAAAAGCAAACCGCACCCGAGCACCCACCAACCACCCTGTAAGTTCTGTAAATGTAGGAATTTCAGTTGTGTCAGATTTGATTTCAGTGGATACCATTTTAATTTTTTTGATGCTCCCTTTCTTACACCTGTTTGCTGGCATTTGGTTGGTTGTCTGGTAGAGACTGCTTTGTCCTCCTCCTTTTCAGTCCTTCTGTAGTCTGAATCTGCCTCCAGGCTAGGACTGGACACCTGGATGGGCCTAGATGGCTCTCCTGCGTAGTGTTTTCCTGTTTGCTGAGGTAGTATAGGTGTAGGACTAATAGACATCTTTTCATCTGTTCTTTTAGAAAAGATTTCTTTTTTTTTTTATATTGAAAAATGTCAAATTTCTAAGAACTTGCTGCTGCAGAATACTGTGCTGATGGCTTTGTTTGTAACATGATGGCTGGAGAAGCAAAAGTGGGAGGGAATTTGACACTGGACCCACCAACCGTCCTTACCGCTGTAAGGAAAAATTTGAGGAAGAATAGGGTAGATAGCGGTTCCCACACTCTAGGTAGATTGAAGGAGAAGGGGTTCCAAGGAGGAGAAGGGAAACAGCCACCTGTGGGGACCAGTCCGACTGATCTCCAATCGGATTATGATGGAGGCTGTAAGCAGACAGGCTCCAGGATGGATCCTGAAAAGGGGGGGGGAGAGCAGAGATGGACATGTTCCGACTGTAGTTACCCCAACACTGAACAAGGTGTGACATAAGGGATTGAAAAGGCTGCTATCGACTATTCTTCTGTAAGCAAAAAGGAAAAACTACAGTATCTGACTGGATCTCAAATTTACATTGTGCTTTTGGCAGAACCAAGGGCTCAAAATTGTCTGCCTTTTACTTTTAGCGCCAATTCTGCTGTGTTCAAAAGTAAAGATTCTTGGTGGGAACTGATATCATTTGAGGTTCATCAGAAGTCTGCCTCCAGGTAGCAGTTTTTCAGTCTTGTTAAGTTCAATTTGAGCTTGCCTATTTGTATTGATACATTTTTGCCCGTTTCCAGTTTCCCGGATTTATTTTGACTTTATTGTCCAAACTGCTAGATGTGCCTGTTGGTACAATTTTATTAGATTTGTTTTTGTTTATTTTAAGGCCTTTTCGTCCTCTTGCCATAAAAGGTATCCCAGAGTCTGGGCTGTATTTATGTTCTGAATGTTTTTGGCCCTTGAACAATTTGTACTTTTGACAGGGAGTTGTGCAGGGTTGATTTTGGGCGAGATCTTTGCCAAAATGGAACTGCAGTTCTCGACCTAGAAACATTTCTCTTTGTTTTCTTTCTGCAGCTACCTCACAGGCTTTCAGTGGAAGGGAGACTCTTCTGTGGAAGCGTATGCTCGATGCCTCCGCATGGGCTGCCGTTGTATAGAATGTGAGTTTGTTTATAGAAATGTTTTTACATATGTCTTTTTGCTGGGGGGGGGGGGGATTGTTGTTGTTTTTGCTTTGATTTGTTTGTTTTTTGGGGTTGTTGTTTTTTGTTTTTTTAGGGTTTTTGTTTTGAGGGGTGTCTATATAGATGAAGATATTTGTGTTAGCTATTCCATTAATATAGGCACAGGCAACCTCACACATACATACACACGCAGTAACAAATGACTTTACAACAAATTGCCCCAGTCCCTTAAGCCAACCTTATGGGAGTAGTAGAATTTTTTTTAAAGTTGTATATTCCCCTGTTGAAACAATTGATTTAAGTTCAGCATTTAGTACCCACGTGACAAAGCTTTTTTTTCCTTTTTCCTATGCCTGTGCAGTTGGATGAATGTAAAACTCACTTTTCTGGTTTAAGTCACTTATGAAAACTGGGTATGTGTTGCGGGTGGTTGGAGGGCGACACTGGTAGATCCGACTTCTTTATTTTCTATCTGTAGTTTCTGTCAAATGGCCGCTGGATCGGAAAAGTAAGTTGTTTCTGTCTGTCTACCTTACTTTTTCCCGGCGCTAAATGACCCCATTACTGTGTGGATGTGCTTCTCTTTAACCAAGCGTGTTGTGCTCTTTTTTCAGTGGACTGTTGGGATGGTCCGGATGGCAGACCCGTCATCACGCATGGCCGGAGTTTAACGTCAGTCATCAAGTTCTCTGATGTGTTGCATACCATAAAGGAGCATGCTTGGGTTGCCACAGAGTAAGTTAAAAGAGAGGGGAGGGGATGAAAAAGGGATTTGTTGTTCCGTTTTCAGGAGGGGGGAGGGGATGAAAAAGGGACTTGTTGTTCCGTTTTAAGGAGGGGGGGAGGGGATGAAAAAGGGATTTGTTGTTCTGTTTTAAGGAGGGGGGAGGGGATGAAAAAGGGACTTGTTGTTCTGTTTTAAGGATAAGAGCAGGAATAGGTCAGTCTCATGGTTTCTGGTCACTAAAATGTTGGATATTGTGTGCTTCTGCTAGCTTCCAAGTATTTATCACCTTTCTGACCAGCTATCATATGGTTGGCAGATGAGTCAGGACCATGGCTAGCTACTATGCTTTCTGAGAAAAAGGAAGCTCATTCTATCACTAAGATCTTGGAGTAAGTTTAGTAGATTCATGTTCAGTACAATGTTATGTAAATGACTATGTATCCGTTTACGTATATTGCGAATTGTATTGTGTATATTATTTTATTATGTATGTGTATGGGCTCATTTCTTAACGATGTGTAAGCGTATGCATGTGATAAGTAAGTAGATGTGTGTGTGTGTATGTGTGTGTTAGGCGTGCATGTGTGTGTACATGTGTGCACATGTGTGCGTGAGTGTGTGTGTGTGTGTGTGTGTGTGTGAGTGAGTGAGTGTGTGTGTGTGTGTGTGAGTGAGTGTGTGTGTGTACGTCTGTTTCATGAAAAAGTCCACATGGATAAGATCAGTTTGTTCTATTTGTCGCCATTGCAGCAGCATAACATGAGTGGTGAATATTGTACCATCTAACCTCAACCCTTTCCTTTTTGAGAAAGTTTCTAAGACCTGATATTTTCCATGTTTTAAGAAGATCAGAAGCAATGGTCTTTTCGCCTATAGGTATCCCTTGGTCCTGTCCATTGAAAACCACTGCAGTTTGCCTCAACAAAGGATCATGGCTTCACTTTTCAAGGAGGTTTTCCAAGGTGAGGATGGATTCGATTTTTTTAAAATAAAAAGATCCTTATAATTAAGGGGACCATTCCAGGGTTCTGTGCTCTGTTTCTTAACTCCTTTGGGTCATTCTACATCCTTTGGAAGCACGCTGTTTTATGAGCACTTGAAAAAGCAGCATATTAAGCCTGTTTTCTTTACTTTATCAAGAATCGGAAACGGCAGGCAACAAGATGCATACTATAGAATATGCAAATTTGTGTTTCTAATTTGTGCATAATGGTTTTAACTCACTTGAGCCTGAGCTATTTTTCACCCAACAGCCATTGCAGTCTTACAATTTTTGAGTGTGCTGATTCGTTAACAGTAAAAAGACTGTGAAAGCTATTATAATATTTTTTAAACGACAAAAGAAAGAAAGAAATGCTTTTTCAGAAAAAGAAAACTGCATCTGATTTGTTGGAATAGTGTTTATTTTATCAATAATTTGAAATGACAAAGTCTTGGGGTTACGCATTGTTTTTTGCACCCAATTTATTTTAAAAAATCATTTATAGCAATGTGGGGGTGAATGACTTAGTTCATTACTACTCAAAATTTATCGCTCATAACTTCGCCAAATTTTTAACTAAACAAAACAAGAGGGTCAGCTGTTGGCTCGCCGCTTCCCGTAGCTTATAACCGAAAAACAGTAGAGATATCGATTGAGAAAGGGCATCCGTAAATACATGGGAGTAGGCCACCAGGCTGATGGCACATCCCATAAGTACAGGGGATTAGGCTCAAGTGAGTTAATGTACCACAATGTTGCCTGTGGCCTTCTGTCGGTCGAACACGTGTCAGATACATCGGTAAGAGGAGGTGCTACAGAAAAAGTCTATCTTGGCTATGACAAACCCTTGGGAGCCCATATTTGCTGTGGGACATCATGTCTTAGTTTTGTTGAAATTGGTCTATAGATGACAAAACTATTGCCCTTTAAATGGGTTTTTTTTTGTAGACACCCAGTATGTATGTTGGGGTTTTTTTAAGCAACCTTACGCCATTGTTCTTATGGCACTGCTATTTTCTTTGCATTGTGTGCTCAGAAATAAGCTCAGTTTTTTTTTCGCTATAACATCTTACTTGTCTTACTTGTCCACTGTGTTGGGGTCACTGCAGTCAGAACATGTCCATCTCTGCTCCCCCCCCCCCCCCTCTTCAGGATCCATCCCAGAGTCTGTCTGCTTATAGTCTCCATCATAATCTGGTTGGAGATCCGTCGGACTGGTCCGCACAGATGGCTGTGTTTCCCCTCTCCTCTTTGGATCCCCTTCTCCTTCAATCTGCCTAGAGTGTGGGAACCGCTATCCGCCCTATTCTTCCTCAAATTTTCCCTTACAGCGGTTAGGACGGTTGGAGGGTTCAGTGTCAAATTCCCTCCCACTTTTGCTTCTCCAGCCAGCTTGTCTGCTCTCTCGTTGCCGGTTACCCCCGCATGGCCCGGGCTGAAGATCCAGGCCACTCTTTCCAGGCTGCTCTCCCTGATCGTAGCCTTCCAGTCCGCATACAGTATCCCTTTCTGTACCTTCTGTAGTGTGCTCATTACGGTGTGCTCGAGCTCCTCTTCAGGAATAAAACCAAAAAGGAAACGGGGGGGGGGGAGTTGGAGAAAGAAGGACGGGAGCTAGAAAGACACAGTTAAAGAGTCGCTATAAACATTTCTCTTTAATTGGGTTTTTGGCACATAAGATCTCGTTTTGTGTTGAAATTTCACTCATGAAACTTTTTAAATTGTCAGGCACTGGTAATGCTAACACGAAAAACTCAAATCCATGGATAGCTCGTTCAGTTTGCCATTCCTGGACTATCTTTTAAAATTTTCGTTATTGGTTAACTCAAATTATGGATGTGTCAAACACATTTGTGAGGCATCGTGGTGAAATCAGACACTCGTCAAAATAATGAAATCTAAGAAATAAGCATTTGTCGGCCAGTTTGGTATTTTTTTTCGAATTTGTGTTTTTCTGACTTAACACTTAGTATGTCCATTCAAAAACACATTTATGTGTGGATTTTATGGAAAAACGCTGATTAGAGGCTCAAAACATGTACATTTGCAGTTTCCAAGGACTCTTGAACTCTGGAAGTCACCAAACTTTGGCGGCCATGTTCTCGCTAATTTCATTTTATTTCTGAAATCAGGTGACCCCACCTCCTTCAATCACAAATATCTCGACTTCTATTCCAGAAAAATGGATACTTTTTTCATCGAAAGCAAGGCAAATGAACTACCTTTAAGATGATACCATAACTCTTTATGCCCAAAAACTGACAAGCGTCTAACTCCACCGTGTCGTGACACATTTGCAAATCTCCAACCTGTCTGAGTTATGCGTGCCGGACTGTACTTAACGAAATTGGACATTTGAATTTTTCCAGCTGAATATGGCTTGGATTTATTATCAGTATTTTCAAGTAGAAATTCATAATAACAAACAGTGATTCTTTATTTTATTGACTGGCTTTTTCAGATGATTTGTTGACTGAACCTATTGATGTGAGTGAGACCAAACTGCCTTCTCCCAACCAACTGTGGAGAAAAATTATTATCAAGGTATTGTGTGGATTTTGAAAAATCTCTACTCCTATTTTCTTCTTTTGTCTTCTCAACATTGATTTCATATTCTTATTAGCTTTGTTACCACCTTTGTAAATCTACCTGTGTGTGTGGTGGTGGTGGGGGGGATTAAATCCAGTATCAGTGTTTGCTGAAAAGTTTTTACTTCTCCACTGTTTGTCTGGTGTAAATTCTGTCTGTCATCCTTCTTTTTTCACACCACTAAACAGCCATTATTTTGTTGGTGTTCATCTCACTTACACAGATAAGTCGGGACACTAACAAATGTGAGGCAGCGTGGTGGAATCAGGCTCTCGTCAATTTTGGGGCATGTAGAGTTATTGGTATCATCTTAAAGCTTGTTCAGTTGCCTTGCTTTCAATGAAAAAATTACCCGCCCATCTTCAATAGAAGTGGAGATATTTTGGATTGAAGGAGGTGGGGGTCACCTGATTTAAGAGGTAAAATTAGCGAGAAAACGGCCGCCAAAGTTTGGTAAATTCCAAAGCTGGAGAGTCCAGTGAAACTGTAAATTTATATTTTTCTGTCTTTAATCAACGTTTTCTGTGAAATCCTCTAAGGAATGTATTTGTAAATGGACATAAAAGGTGTTGAGCCAAAAAACAAAAATTGGATAAAAATTTCTAAACAGGGAGAAAACTGCTGTTTTCTTCGATTTCATTATTTTGACGAGAGCCTGATTCCACCATGCTGCCGCACATATTATTATTATTATCTATCTTTCTCTCTCTGTGAGTGTCTATCTGTGTCTTTTTATCTTTCTCTCTGTGACTGGGTCTCTGCATCTCTCTTTCTGTGTCTCTCTCCATCTCTCTGTGTTTCTCTCTCTCTTTCTGTGCCCCAGCCCCTTAATACTGATAATCTAAACATTTTCATAAAGTATGAACGTAGTCAGTCTTTCAGGTCAATGTGTTTTTCTTTTTTTGTTTCAGAACAAAAAACTTCAGTTAGATGGCAAACTCCAAGATCAGAAAGATGCGGAGTTTTGTGAGTTTTGTTTGGGTTTTTTTTTTTTTGGTTTTTTTTTTTGATGTTGTATTTTGTGCTTTTGACATGGAAAGTACAAGTGACTTTTGTTTTGGAGAAAAGAGTGACAAATATATTTTGGCCATGTTTCTTCCTTTTCATTTTCCTTTGCGTATGGTTAGCGGGTGCTGTGGTGTGGTTTGCTCCTTCTTTCCTATTAAAAAAGTCTGTCGTCCTTATCTGTCGTCCTTTTTTTTTGTGTCTGTTATTCTCTTGTAACACCTCTAATCTTTGGCACTTATATTATCTTGTTGTATTGTAAGTGTGGTAAAACACATACTAAAACTAAAAAATGTTTTCTTTTTTAACTTGATAACGAGTTATGCAGCTGATTGTGATGAATCCCCTGTGGGTTTTACTTCTTCCTTATGGTATCAGTGAATTACTGGGGTTTTTTCCCATCTTTCCTTCCTTATTTTTGTCTTTCTCTTTTGTTTTTTTCCGTGCACTAGCTGGCTGCTGTTTTTCTTAAAGTGCTCTGCTTTACTGAAATTAAAACTTTCTCCAACTTATAAAGTTTTCCATTTATATTTCTCAACACCATGTAACCGTTGTGGACTTGAGCTCTTCTACTCGTTCTGAAAGATATTGTATAACACAAGCTGTCATTGTGGTCTTCTGCTGTAACTTCTTTTCAGTTATATGTTTATATAATGGTTGTGAAAAATAGCCAAATATTAA